CTGTAATGTTTTTTGGATCTTGCTGTCTCTGAGATTAAAAACATGGCTTTGACATTCTATTCATCCATGTTAGATTAATTGATTCACCAAACTCAGGCCAAAGCTTAAGCAAAGTTTCTGAACCACAATAAAACTATTACTGTTACTGTCTTACTACCTTTCCCAAAAAACACCAAGGAATACTTACTTTTTGATTAACTGGATAGGAAATACTGTCAAAATTTGAGCAACAAACAGTTATTTGACATACAGCAAAAGGAAACTTGTTTTAATCTAGACTCAGATTACAGATTCTAGAGGTAAATTATGATAAAAACCCCTCTAAATTCTTCAAATATTGCATATTAATCTTGACTAAAACAGATGCTAACCGTTGACTCCAATGTGATACTAACACACATGCTAACACACAAGGTGCATCCACTGGTGTCTGGTTTCTCCCCCTGAAAACATTGCAGGAGTAGACAAGCGAAACCGAAGTCTGAGACATGTCATGAGTTCTATTAAAGGAAGAGTGTGAAAATGTGGAACATGACCCGAACAGGAAGTCATGTCACTCACGCTATTGTCTTCTGGTTGTCATGTGGAAATACATATTTTGTTAAGGGGAAATGATTGAGTGCTTAAAACATGCAACTTGATGTCCTCTATTAGAATCTATTTGACTTCTTCTTTTCTATGTATACACAGTGGAGGATTCTTTATGCAGCTCATAAACTTAAAGCCTGTATTTGAACCTTCATTCTCAAACAGCTCCAGTAAACCACCCATCACTGTTTGATGTACAGCTCTGATGAAGCACTTTGAGGTTGAGGAACAACACACACACTGCAAATAACAGGTGTAAGCTAGAAGCTACAGCTCCCTGAAGGAATCTGGACTACAGTTGTTTAACCTGAGGGTCATGAGCTGTCAGAAAAAGAAACTGATGACACTAGCTGGAGCTTTGTTTCTGCGTCAGAGGCGCTAAATAGAATTTCCAGAGAACCAAATGTTGTTGTTAATCACACAAAGCGAGCCTAGAATATGATGACCTTTACAGTGGATATTAAGTGAGAATTACTGTCCTAATTAGGTTTAAAGAGATTATAGATATCATTATTGGACATGTGAGAACAACTGTGGTGTATTTTGAGGATACATTCCCATCTACACTGGTGCTCATCAAATCCTCTCAATTAGACACATACCTCTTTTTTATTACATGAAAGCAGGACTTGGGATATAATTGAAAAGTAATTACACTTTTGGTTGATTTTATGGCTCAATAAAACATATTTTAGCCCTCATGTGTCTGCTCAAACTGTAATGGACTCAGCCTTTGCCACACAGTGAAAAATCGATAACAAATAAAAGCATTCATCGAGGTTTAAGATAACAAAACCGCACTCTAGACATGCTGTAATATGAGAATATGTTGTTTTGTTCAAATCTGCTGCACCCAACAAGGATTATAATCACCCATATATACAATTTCAACATTTTGTAAGGGAAGTCTTCAAATTCCCTGTATAATACGAACAATGCTGAATATAGTCTGGATTGTTGGGTTAAAACAAGCAATATATATTGAATATATGATGACAGACAGAGAAAAGCAACCTGTAGCCAGTGAATATTTTAGATATTGCTTGATAAATGATTTAGAAACATTATGTACACAATTAGAATTTTTCCTGATTTCTCTGGGTTTTTTTAGTCAAAAACTGGACACCTTGATCATTTGAGGTAACACAAATATTTCATAAGGAGAATTTCTGAATATAAATGAATGTATGACCTGTGATGAGTACAGTGCTTACTTTTTTTTTAAAGTTAGTTTATCAACTAATTACTCAAAACTATAGTTGTATCATACACCAAGGGACTTATTTCTTGATATATAGTATTGAGGAGTTCTAATTAAATACAAATTATTTTCACTCGCCTCTATTTGACTTCGAGCCTCCACCACAGGGATGGTGTTGTGGCCCTTGTGCTCCTCCGTCACACAGTCCTGACACACGCAGCAGGAGTCAGCGCAGCAGAACAGCTCCAGGGGCCACTTGTGGCTCTCGCAGGTCCGCCTCTCGATGTCTCTGAGCGGCTCCACCAGCCGGTGGTTCTGAAACTTGGGGTTCTCCAGGTGGGGCCGGAGGTGGGCCTCGCAGTAGGACACCAGGCAGGTGAGGCAGGACTTGAGGGCCCTGCAGGGGCTCTCGATACAGGAGTCACACACCACATCGTCGGGGCCCAGAGGTTCCTCCTTCACCTCCTCTTCTTTCACCTCTTCTTTCTCTCCATGTGTCTGGAGTGGCCCCTCTTTCTTCTCCTCCTCAGGCTTTTGAGGGTCTTCAGACTCCTTCAGGTCTTCTTGGATTTTGATCTCCCTCGTTGTTTTAGGGTTCTGCTCCTCTTTGCTCTTGATCTCCGGAGTTTCAGCCTCTGTTCCGTTCTGTTTGGGTCCAGGTTTAGGCTGGTCTGAGCTCTGCAGACACTTGGGACATCCTTTGTTTTTGTCCCCCAAGCAGGAGCCACAAACAGAGTGAGGGCAGGCTGCTGTCTTCTCCCCACTCAGTGCACCTGAGCAGACAGTACACTGCTGCTGGGAGACTGGAGCTGCTACAGCTGCTGTGTCTGCCATGTCTTCAGAGTCTCTGTCTGTCAGCCTTCTCTCTTCTGCTCTCTGGAGAGAACTGGCTCGGCCACTCTGTCAGCCGGCAGTTCCTGGATCACTCTGAAGAGCCTGAAAGGCCACACCTAGAGGATGTGAGCGGGAGTCAAAACCCATAGTTTCAGTCTAAAAGCTCTCCGCCCCTACATCCAGCCAGACAGCCAGACACACACACACACACACACACACACACACACACACACACACACACACACACACACACACACACACACACACACACACACACACGCCCTCCCCTTCCCCGAGGAAAAAGAAGCCACAGGGTGGAGCCCACACTGTAAATGAGGAAGAGAGGTGTAGAGTTGCATTCCCCCACATGCATTGTGTTTGAACATGAAGCGAAACACACAAATCTCTTATCTTACCTTTACTGTTGTTTGTTTGTATCTGACATCATCATTAGACTGAGCAGATCACTGCTGCAGCCTTTTGTTTGCCAGCCTGCTTCCTCTCTAACATCATGGGAGCATTTCGGTGCTCCAAAGTTCAAATGGAAGTTCCAGTGAGAATGCAAATAGTGAGTGAATCAGCGGATCAGAGAGCAAACATCAGGGCAGCAGCTGCCATCCAGTGACCAGCCCGTCACAAGTGAGTTCTTTGCTGAAGTGGGGATTTGGAAGTGTGGAAACATGTGATTAATCACATGTGTGCTCAGCCAACCAGAGACAAGTCTTTTTTTCATTTTCTCTTTTTGCAAAGGTCTTCAAAACTACGTTTTTAAAGGTTATTTGTATTTTTGTGTTTTTTTTTATATTAAGGAAATTCACACATGAAACTCACAAAAGTTCCCAATAGTGGTAACTCAAAAATAATGTAACTGGAGCAAGAAAGACAGTCTGCTTCTAAGGATACACATTCAAGAACAAATATAAGAAGGGACATTTAGAAACATGTTGAAGTGTAAAACAAGCATGTGTGGGAAATACCCTTGTTTAAATGTACCATCATTTATTCAACATCCACTTTTTGTCTCCAACTTTTTTTTGCACTTCTTTTATAATTATTCATTTTATTATCTGATGCACCTTTTTTTATATATATATAGTAACATTTTCCTGTTGTCTTTATTTAAAGTGAACATATAAATAATTACAGTTCGGAAACTAATATGAACTTCTTTTTTTCCCTCATACGTGTATGATAATTGACCCTTTAAAAAAAATCGGTTCATTTTAAGTAAACATTTTTAATGTCTTTTAATGTCTTAAATATGTTTTCTTTTGTTCAACTGCATTTTTTTACTTGGAATACCCAAAAAGAAAAAAACCTGTTTTTGGAATCTGAGGAAGACAAAAAAAAAAGGAAAAAAGGCAGCGGTAACATCCTGAATGTATCTTTTGCACTTCTTTTATAATTATTCATTTTATTATCTGATGCACCTTTTTTTATATATATATAGTACAATTTTCCTGTTGTCTTTATTTAAAGTGAACATATAAATAATTTCAGTTCGGAAACTAATATGAACTTCTTCTACGTAAAGAAAAGTTATTTTCTTAAAATATACTTATTGTTTAAAAGAAGATGGGTGTTTCTCAATGTCGAGGACGCTTCCTTGGTAGGACATGTCTTCTGAGTCAGGTCCTTCAGAAGCCAGGCAAGAATCCTTCCTAGCCTCGGAAAACAAAGAATTGTGGAACAGGCTAACAGGTGTGCAGGTGTGCGTCATATGCGAGGCCCCGCCTTAAATGGAGCGCGATTTCCGCCAAAGATTTTGGATATTGGTCCGTGCGCAAAGCATTTGCGGGGATTATAAAACCGCGGAGGATACACGTGCAGCCTCGATATTTCCCGCAACGAAGGACTCGAAGGCCTCGGTAGAATTCCAAGGATCCTGGACATTAGAACAGTCCTTCGGCGGGACTCGATGACGGTAGTATCCTTGAAATAGTGGCTCTGGAGGAGCCTTCCTCGACATTGAGAAACACCCCATGATTATCATCATACTTCATATTCTATTAGATGCAGTCTTTGTAATGGGCTCTGAACCAAACAAAGAGCTTGTGATTTTTCTAAAATCCAAACTGCACTCACTATTTTATATATCAATGACAGATTTGTTTTAAAGTCCATAAAATTGACAAGAGAGTGAATATTATACTTACATTTTGCATCTCCTAATCAATCAATAAATAGGCAACTGTGAGCTAATTTTCAAACTTCATTACGTAATAATGTCTACAGTGTGTTCTGCTGCCCCCTAGTGGCGAAACAACTATTACCACTGCTTTAAAGAAATATACATTACCAGTTACCACATAAAAAAAGATTACTGTAACATGATTTTTGAATTGAGTGAGTATGTGAAGCATTGCTCTACTCTTGGTTCCACAATTGTTTTTTTATTTGAAAAAAAAGGCAATGAAGGCAATGAAACAATGTGTAGTTCATGAAAATTAATTTAAAATGTATTATTAGAAACACACTGAAGCATCTCTGTGTGCATGTGTATTGAGCTGAGGAAACAGCAAATGAAACAGTAAAAACATATGTATTGTACTGCTGTTTCTATTATACTACAATTGTGCTTTATTCATTGTTATGTTATTTGTGCTAAAATAACTCTATCTCCCTTAGATCCTAAAATATGATCCTCTAAATCTCCTGACGATGCTAGAATGTGATTACATTTAGAGTTAAAGGAGGCGATTTGAAACCATATCTACATTGTCTTATACATAATCAGGTCAACTTTTGGTTGAGTGCTTATCTTTGTGCTATTCATTAAATTACCGCTAAAAGTGCAGAACATTCATTCAGTTCACATAATGATATTTTCTTTTTACATGATGGATGTAGCTCCTAATATCAAACTACATGTGTGCTATTGATTAAAACCTATATTCTGCATGTTAGAGACTTAAAACCTGGACAGTAGGTAACACTTTAACACTAGGGCTTGTGCTTTGGAGCAGCAGCAGCAGCAGTCTTTAGTCTGGGCAGTTTGTCTCCTTCACTGCACCCCCACCAGCTCTGTGATCGGCGGGGCAAACACCATCAGTTCCTGGTATTTGCTGAAGAAAAGACGGAGGCGGGAGAAGTAGCTGTCCTCCTGGTACGGGAGCTTATTTTCCGTCAGATACTTGGAAACAACCGGCTTCACCTGGAAAGAGGAGGAATATACAAGTCACATGTCATTTCTTACTAACTAAGAAACAGTATCTACAGTAAATGGGCATGCAATACTACAGATGATATGAGAAACAACTGTATTTGTATTGCTGGGCAGCAGACAGAGTGAGAAGAGGGCACACATTAAAAGTCTAGGGTTCAATCACAATAAGGTGCAAATCCAAAAGAAAGGTGAAAATCAATGAGACCCACTACAAAAAGGACCACATCAAAATCTTAAATTACTTTGTAACTGGAATTGAGTTACTCTCTACTTTCAGATATAAGTGTTATAAGTGGATATTTAGTTTAAAAACAAATATAATACTTCAGAGAGTATTGCTCTCCTATTCAGTTGGACGGCTCCCAAAAGAGATTTCTTTTTTAAAAAGATTCTGACCTTAAGTCTGAGCTGTGTTATTTGTTTTGATGTTTTGGTTGCAAAATTAGTGTTTAGCTAGACATTGCTAAAGTTAGAAATCCTCAGGACCCTTTTCTTTTATCAAGTAATTGTTCCTCTGGGATGAGGGGTAATTCTTTTGGAATCAGAAACCGATTTATTGCTAACGAGGTTTAAACGTATAGGAATTTGCTTTGGTGTTTATGGAGCTTACATACAGAGTACGAGGGCTTAAGTTTTATTAAAGAAGGAACAAAACTAAAGCTAGTATCAAGACTATTTTACAAACTATTATTGGAATAAATTGATTGGATTCTGAAGTTGATTTAGATTTTCTGTGTCATTCTTGCCCTTAAGTAAGACTTAGTGCTTTAATTAAATGGGTGTTCTTTATGAATCAGGTTTGAACACTTGACAGTTCATAACAAAGAACTGGCAGGCAAAACTCTTAATTTAGACGGATAGCATAATTGCAACAAAAAAAGGTATATGTTCAAATTAACCAATTATTTTTTGGATATGGGCTCTTTGAACACTAAGTGTGCAGGGTATTTTTTAAATTATGTTTTAAACATTTAAATCATTCACAAAATAGTTTTGTGGTTAGCTAACTGACCATATTATACAGCGTTCAGGCACATGCCGATGGGTTGCACCTAAAATCGGGGTGGTGTTGTTCGCACACGCTTAAATCCCTGCTCAAATGTCCTCAAGAGAACTCACCATGAGGAGTGAACTGACATGCATGTGTAATATCTGTGGGTGTGTTTTTACAGCCTCCTCTACAAATGATGGCCCACAGAATAATAAAGCTCTGTGAGCCCATGGAGATTCAAAATCAGTATCAGTGTTGATCCATAATATTTGCTTTAAAGGTGCCTGTCATATCTACTGTAATATATGAGTGTAATTATCGTAACAAATATAAAATGTGATTTCCTGCCAGATGTTCTTTGATAAAGATATTCCCTAATTATAATACATTACTTAGTATAGGCATTCATAACGTTTTTATTGATACATAACTGTAAATAATTTTACTGGGAAATCTACGAAAGCTATTTACATATAATAGTCCACTAATTATTGCTGCAGAAAATGCCATTTAAAAAATGTGTTCCTGTACAAAGCATTTGCTTCGCATGCCTTGTAAAAAAAAAACTAATTGCCCAATAAAAAATTATAATATTAAAATAATAGTAATACTCATATTATAGGCAAGGAAAGCTTTCATATAGACTATTTCAAACATGTTATAAGGGAAAACCCATTGTAGTAGGTTGAAACACGTTTAAATTCATATGTAATGAGTGACAATCTACACATAAGTACTTGGTAATTAGGCTTCTATTTAATCTAAATACATATTGATTTGTCAGTAAATGCTAAGCAATTATTCTAGTTGACAATAAAGTTGCTTTATGTTAATTCTCACCTTTTAACTCTCAAGTAAATAATTATCTTTTTTATTGACATAAAGCATAAATCTCCCTTTGTGTTGTAAAACAATCCTCTAGATCTGCAGTGAAAGTCCATCTAGCATGTGCAAACTGATAATATATAAGGATTAAACGTCACCTTTAGACACATGTTATCAGAGAGGAAGGGGAAGAGATGGTGCTCCACGTGGCAGTTGATAAGCGAGTGTCCGAACATCCAGTCCAGCAAAGGGTTACGCGGCAGGTTCAAGACCCCGTGGGTCATCTGGTAGATCCTCTTGGGTCGGCTGGTCGCAGAGAACATGTGGAGGCCAATGTGCTGTCAAGAACACAATGTTTTAGACAAGTTGAGTAATAGTATATAAGAAATTACATAGGTTAGATAATTTGTTGACCACGATGTCCAGGTTTACAATGTGTACACATTTGTAAAACGTGTTTTCTCCAACATAAAGAAAGAGCTTTAGTACACAATGTTTACAAATGAGAGACAAGGTTATCGTCGGCTAAAAGAACAGAGTAACATTGTGTTCAGGGGGAAAGATAGGATAATGGCCAACAACAGCACCAGGATCCAGGGGAGGCCAGGTTGTCGTGACCCCCCAAAGAGAACAAACATTTGCCCCTGTTAGATTCCTGACTTCACACTGAGAACCTGCCTTTTCTAATCCACCTTCTCACACTTTGATCAGAACAATGCACAATGACTTGCAGCACTCAGACGCCATGTGGGAAATCATGCATGAATTGTTCCTTTTTATCCCTTTAGTTCACTGGCTGGTCTGATCTATGGAAACACAAGGCTGCGCTGAAAGAGGTGCACTCATGACTGTTTGGCATGAAATGACCCAACCAGCATTCTTCACCAAATCTGTGAGAGAGGAATGTATTGCTAGCAGAGTAGAAGTTTATGTAGAAGCTGTTCTGGAGAGTTCATTTATAAATCATAAAAATCGAAATATTATAAAATCAGTATATCTATATTTTTCAAACAATTCGATTAATCATTATGTCATTTTCAACAGATGATCGCGACTTTTCATTGACTAGCAGGTTGGCGTATTTTTGTATAAATATTGGCAGGTGATTGGATGAACATACTGTCTAGCAAAGTCTAACGCAGGCTAACTTCAAGCAACCAGTCAAATAAACTAATTCAATATTTAAAAGTCTTGAGAAGGGCGAAAACAGTGCTATTCTTTGCTCCTATATCCGATAGAAAATATACTATTACTATATACTATTGCAACATCTAGGCTAACCATCTTTGGAGTTACCATTTTATTTTTAAATAATCAGATGTCTTCGCTCACCTAAATGACGCATGTAGCTATTTATGTAGCTCTTCACAGGATGCTAATTGAAACGCTGACAAATGATGATACCTTAAGCCTGACAAGTTGGATTTTTGTGTGATCTAATCATATTGTGAGAAAGTAAATTAGTTTGGTTCGTGAGTGCAAATTTAAATCCTTGAGATTTCCTGAATCAATTTTCATCTAGCGCCATCACCGTGTCAAAATTAACAAATGTTAGCATGATAATAGCATTTTGAAATTATAATAATGCCTGCTAAACATCAGAAAAGTATCATTATCATAATCTCTATAAACAAGTGAATACAACTGAGCAAGATTGTTGGAAGCGATTTGGCCGATCCGTGTCGAGAGCAAAAAAGCTTTATGCGCTGCCTGAAATGCAATCTCAGAACCCATTGGCCAAAGTCTGATGATGAATTCGCTTTTTATTAGCTCCAAATTAGCTTGTTAATGTAACAAGTGTGAACATTTCCGATCTTGGACATTGGGTTTCAACTCCATTCTCTCGTTTCAAGTTGTTTACGGACTATTAACGAAAAATAGGGTACAGAAACCCCAAAAATATGGCCCCTTGCTCATAGAGGTTTATCATCGTTGGACTGTTAGCAAATGGGTGCCAATATTGCCATTGTTATAGTAAGCATGTTAGCATGCTGCTGTTAGCATATAGCTCAAATCTATGTCCAAAAATATCCTTACAATGCAGCTAGCATGACTGCAGACTCATCCTTGTTTGAGGATGTGCACTGAACATGTAAAGTACAGGTGCCTCCTGAAGGTATTTCTCACCTGGAAAATGTTGACATGGATATAGGTCACAGAGAACATTGCTCTGCACACAAGCATACAAAGCAAAGCGCTGAGAGGCGACAGGAATCCGGAGACGTGTATCAGCAGCCAGTACTGGGAATACAGGCCCAGTGTTACCATCAGGACGGTCCGGACCATGACAGCCACAGAGTTTCCTCTGAGGTGAGCTGCAAAGCCAGAGAATCACATGTATGAGAATAAAGTCACAACTAAGTGAGAGAGGCGAGGTAGCAGGGGAACTTGAACAGGATCAGAGGGTAGGAAATCTCAACTTTATGATGATAGTCACATTTAATGTTGAAGTATTTGAGCAAACTCATAAACTGTCTGGACTTCTTTTGGTGCTTTGGCGCCTCTTACCGAGTGCAACAAGTGGAGTGATGATAGGCACGGCCAGGGGTGCTATGAACAGGTAGACAGTGCGAGGCAGGAAGGGGGCCTTCCACACGCTGGAGTCCCCCAGTCCAATGACATTAGTATGAGCATGATGCATCTTAATGTGGCCTTGAATGCCGGCTTGCGCTGAGAATGAGCCACAGATCTGAGTGGATGAACACAAGCACAGATGGGTATGATTATGAACATCCAACAACAAAACCATCACTGATGCAACTTATAAAACAAGCAGGGAAATACATAGGCTTTGAATGGTATTGATGGATTTTAACCTAGTTTTGTACGGCTGTTTTGCTGTGTTTTGCTTTCATAAGCAGCCAATAGGGGCCACAGAACAGAATTCACAGGTTCAAGGGTTTACTGAATTGATTATTCTAGCACTGGGACAATGAATGTTCTTTAAACCCTATTAACCTTTAGTGTCTTGCAAAGATTATTGTTGTTTTTAGAACATTGTCTTTAATTGATTTTGTATTTAAAGTTTACAAAGAAGAAATACAATCTGACACATGTCATCCATGACTCCTTAAGCCTGTTAACAATCCCTCTGCATCCTCTGTAGGTGCATTCAATCACAGGAAATCACATTACACCTCCCAGCTTTATAACAGAGCGGTTTCTTCATATTTATTTTATAGCTTGGTTTATTTCTGATGTAGCCCTAAAAACATGCAGAAAATGTAGTTTTTGTATGGCTGCTGACAGTATATTCTGATGTAAAGTGGGAATACAAAGACATGTCCAGAGCTCCCTTTTTTATAGTTCCTTGTCTATGTTAACAAAACAAACTGTTGAACCTGCATGCGTATATGCAAATGAGCAAATGTTTATTAAAAATAAAGTCTCATTTGGATATATAAATACAATATAGGCTAACTTGTAATACAATAATGTCTTGTCCCGAGCATGTAATCAACTGGGGAAGTTTCACTGTAACAGCTGGGAGTTTGGTTAATTAGTCTGAAATAAATACAATACGTTTATTTACTTTCCTGCATGAGAGTTGGATAGGAAGATTGATAGCACTCTCATGTCTGTGCGCTAACATGTAAACTACAGTTAGTTAGCGTAGCATAAAGACTGGATTTAGGGGGAAACGGCTGACCTGGCTCTCTCCAAAGGGAATAAAACGCTCCCACCGGCATCTCTAAATGATAAACACTGTACATCTTGTTGCTTTTATTTTTAGAACTAAGTAATGATAGAACAGAACAGAACAGGTTTTATGAAGGCTAACATTTCTTGTATCTGGCAGTGACTTCCCGGAGTCAGCTGGTTGTTTCCAAGAAACCAGCAGAGCCAAGAATGTCCGTGACATAATACTTCCATGTACACCTTGTCTTTTGTGTATGAACAGACCAAACAAACAAGATATGATTGTTGAATTACTGACCTTTAAAGGTAGTATGTTGCACTACATTTGGGTTATCTGGCCCCCCTGTTTACAGGCTTTCAGGCTAAGCTAAGAATGTTGCTGCTTGCTTTAGCAGATAGTTCAGAAATGAGATAGCACTATGAGAGACAATTTCCTGTATCTGTGTAGCTTTCTCCACTTTCCTGTTCCCTTAGACTTAGAGACTGGCAACAGATCCCGAGTCTGTCACCCCAATTGTGAGTGACTAAGGTAACAATTGGGCCCATTTTCACACTTCTCAATATTCGGACACTAAAATTACATTTTTTAGGACAAACAAATTGAGAGAAAATTAACTCTGTTCGAGACCTTTCTCTGTTCGAGACCTTTCTCTGTCCAAGCAAGGTAATGTTCGCTAACACCCTTGCTCACCTATTTTCAGAAAATAAATGCTGCTGTTAGCTGTGAGCAAAAAAGTCTAAAAGCCTTGTCTTGGCACAGCTTGTAATGCAGTATCTTGAGTTAAAAGCTCATTTTCTTCAGCTAAATATCTTCTTGTTTAACTCTTTGCAAGAAAGGAAATTATATATTTTTGGCCAGTATCTCTAAGTTCCTATCGCATTGCCACTTTAGCAGTAGCATTTTCATCACTGCAACAAAGCTACAGTGAGAATAAGCTTCAAGTGTCTCATCATAATCTGTGGTTTAAAATTATTTCTGAACATCTCACCTCGATAAAGAAGACAGCCCAGACCTTCGCCCAGGCCTGTGACTCGCTCAGGGACCCGTGGCTGGCCAGATGTGTGCCTTTGAAGGTGATGACAGCATGAGCCATGCCCATCAGCAGCATGCCCGCCGAAAAGTACAGAACCTGAGAGGAGCCCAGCAGCAGGAAGGCTGCAACACAGAGCACAGGGACCTTAATCTACATTTGTTTCACTTTCTTTATAAGAGGTACGGGACACTTATGGAAGAGTAAGAGGGCATGAGGAGAAAACATTTGACAAAGATACATAAAAAAAAAAAAGTTTGCATACTGTCTATACTGTATGTGAAGACTAAAGTTTTGGACCTGTCTGCTGCATTCGACACGGTGAATCGTCAGATTCGCACTCTCCAAGAATTTGGAGTTTCAGGCTCTGCACTTGCCCTCCTCACCTCATACCTCAAAGACCGTACCTACAGGGTAACTTGGAGAGGGTCAGAGTCCGACCCTTGTCAACAGGGGTCCCTCAGGGCTCTGTCCTTAGTCCCCTCCTCTTCTCCTTGTACACAAACTCGCTCGGATCTGTCATTAGCCCGCATGGTTTTTCATACCACTGCTACGCTGACGACACCCAATTAATTAGGTCCTTTCCCCGCTCAGAGATCCCAGGTCGTCACACGCATCTCTGCTTGTCTAGCGGACATCTCTCAGTGGATGTCTGCTCACCACCTCAAGCTCAACCTTGACAAGACTGAACTGCTTTTCCTTCCGGGAAAAGATTGTCCCACTCTTTACCTAACAATCAACATCGGCACCTCTGTTGTTTCCCCGACTCAGACTGCAAGGAATCTGGGTGTGACCCTAGATAACAAACTGTCCTTCACTGCAAACATCGCTGCTACAACCCGCTGCTGCAGACACACGCTTTACAACATCAGGAGGATACGTCCCCTCCTGACCCAGAAAGCGACGCAGCTTCTGGTCCAGGCTCTCGTCATCTCACGCCTAGACTACAGCAACTCCCTCCTGGCTGGTCTACCTGCATGTGCCATCCGACCTCTGCAGCTTATCCAGAATGCAGCGGCTCGTCTGGTCTTCAACCTTCCTAAATTCTCCCACACCACGCCGCTCCTCCGCTCACTTCACTGGCTTCCGGTAACTGCTAGAATCCACTTCAAGACAATGGTACTTGCGTACCATGCTGTGAATGGATCTGGCCCTTCCTACATTCAGGACCAGTGTTGAGTTACAGTAATATATTACTTTTTGCTGTAACGAAGTAATGTAACGCATTACTAATGAAATGTGGGTAATATATTACCCGTTACAATGCTCAGTAACGCAGTTACAACACATTTTAACCCGAAATTAAATGGTGTTTTGTTTTTTAAGAATGTACTAACATAGCGAGACATTCCGACACCGGACAAATTGTGCGGGTAGATTAGTAAACCTGGTCTTTACCGTTCAGGCTTCGCGTCGAGATCTTCTGGGAAGTTGAACGTTATGCAACCATTCAAAAAAGAGCGCGTGACCTGCTCCGCTGCGCGTGCATCATTTCCAAAGTGCTTCCACAGCAGTGACACACATCTGATCTGTGGATAATCATTTATACGAAAATGGTTAAAGCAACCATCACTAAACGCCAGCAACACTGCATCTACTGCAGACAGTAGCAACAGGTCAGATGCGGACATCACGTTACCCTCCNCTGTGTTTAGCTGTGTGTAGCTGTGTGAAGGTGTGGTGTAGGAGGTGTAGTGGTAGTTGTCGAATCAGTGGTTGCCGGTGAAGTGTGTGAAGTGTGTTGTAGTCTTGTGTGTGGAGGTTGTGTGATAGAGTGTGTGTGATGTGTTTGGTGTAGGATTTAGTCGTAGCGTGTGATGCATGTAGTGTGTGTGTAGTCGGTAGATGAGATGAGTAGCAAAGCTAGTTGCTATTAGACACACTAAAGGGAATCGTTAGTTTATTAGTCGAGGTTGTAGTCGTATGGTGTGTGTACGGTTCGATTAAGGTGGTGTGGATTGTGTGTAGGGTGTGTGAAGGTGTGGGGGTAGGTGCAGCGTTGATGAGACTGTGGGTCGCAAGGTGTGTGAAAGGTGTGTGGAGGGTGTGTGTAGGCTGTGTGTAGTGTGTGTAGGTGTGTGAAGTGGTCGGTGTAGGTGTGCGTTAGGCCTGTGGAAGGTGCGTGTAGGTGTGTTAGGTGGTGAAGGGGAGTGTGTAGGTGAGTGCTGTTGTAGGCTGTGCTGAAGGTGTGAGACGTGTGGGTGTAGCGCAGGGTGGTGAAGGTGTGTGTCAAGGAGATGTGTGTCGAGGGTGTGTCGCAAAGGGTGTGTGTGAGCGTGTGGTGTTGAGCTTGTGGAAGGGTGAGATAGATATAACGAGTTCTGTTAGAAGCTTCACGCTGTCCGGACGCAGCCTTCAGGTCATATCCTACTTTTTCATCCCTGTTACCCCGAGTGGGCAGAACAATTGTTAATTGGATCAAAGAACTTCATCTCTCCCATTTTTAATCTTGCGCACACGCTCAATGAGCCCCTCGTCATCTGTCGGCCGGAGAGAGAAAAGAGAGAGAGAGAGAGAGAGAGACGAGACAGAGGAGAAGAGGAGAGAGATCTCTTAACTCCACATATTGATGCAATGTGCGACCTTAAACATAAGATCAAGTTTACTAATCAAATATTAACAAAATAAATGATACTCCTTTGAAAGCCTCGTTTTTAGTCTTAGCATGATGGGAAAACTTTGCAGCAATTTATTTGTTACAGTGTAGTGCAAGGTTTTATTCAGAATTCTTATACAGAAATACACTGAGTTTCTTATCAGCTCTTGGTTCTGAACAGATAAAGTAAATTATGTAGGTGATTTTATTATTACCATGTTGACGATGATAATAGTTCCACTGTACTAGATTTAACTCTACTATTCTGTTAGGTTGAGTGACCAAAGCAGGCTGGACCGCGAGAGAGCCACGCAAAAACTAGGAGCCACCAGGGTGGGTGTGTCGGGGTCTGGCGGGAGGACGGGTTTTGGGGACTCAGACAACCCAGGAGCTGACCAGCGGAGGCAGGAAGGATCTGGGGACGGCCGGGACAACGCGCAGAGAGTTCACAGGGCCGTGCAAGGCCATAGCACATGTTCCCATCACAGGCAATGGGGGGGACGGGCGCTACAGGCACGCTGCGTATTCGGACACACAGTCAGGCGCGCTGCGCTCGCAGGACGGCGCAGGCGCCTCTCGGTGTGTACACCCCTGGACGGGTCAGACAGTAGACCGAGACCCGGACGGAACTGGGCTGGGTGTTGAGTGGACAGCCACCGACGGAGCAAGGGCTCGATGTCGATGGAGAACGAAACAGGACAGGACACAGCGTCGCAGGAAATCCGGCAGAGCAGGCGTCGCGCCAGAGAGGACCTCCCAACTCGTGTGACCACGCACTGATCGGTAGTGGCTAGGTATCGCTCTCCCTCTGCAGGGAAGATGTTAGTTCGGCGGCGGCCTCCTTATACCGCACCAGGACACAGGGGTTGCAGGACCGGACTTCCTCCCATGAGAAGAGCGCAATCACGGGTCGGGACCACCCAAAACGGCCACAGAGGACACAGGGTTGGCAGAACCCCCTGGCAGTAAGAGGCAGTGGGCGGGAACACCAACGGGACAGGACACAGGGGTGGCAGGACCCGCCAGAAGAGATAGTCGGGGGGCTCCAACGGCACAGAGCACAGGTCTCTCGGCAGTGGGTCCACCCAGCGACGCGGGGCAGAGACAGGTCCGGGCGGGACCCCCAATGGCACGAAAGGGACATGCAGGGTTCCGCGATGGCCCAGACATCCCCTCCGGTCAGAAGACGCACGCTCGGCGGGACCCCAACCGGCACAGGCACAGGTTGGCAGGAACCCGCAGAAAGAGTAGTCGGCTTGACAATGAGATACGAGTCTGCTCATCGTCTGTAAGCCGCTTCCCTCCCCTTTCTGGACGCGAGCGAGCCACAGCGGTCGTCCAGGTAAAATAACACTCATCCCATTCTGAGTAAGCTGCTCCAACGTCTCATCCCACTTTGAAACAAGTGAGTGGAGCCATGTGAACTGGGAAACGGCGGACCTTTGCTGTGTTTCTAGCGAGTGTATATGATGGTTAAGTGGAGTCGACAGGCATCCTTCAGCAGCAGTTATGAGATGTTTGGAACCTGCTGGTGAGCACTTCAGCAGAGCACTGCATTTGACCTACTCATCGTACAGCATGCGGATAAAGTGCCATTAATCCGGTTGCTGTCTGTACTGGTGATTTCACAAGTGGCTGGGCTTCGACAGTCACTGAGACAGACATCGACGAATGGGCAGTTGCGCATTCACGTGCCCGTCGTACACGACTGCTCGTTCTTCCTTCGAGCACCAGCGGTCCAACATAGTTTTAGCGGGATGTATGAAGTGTTGATTTTACTATAAACTAAGCGTCCATTGTATTGTTGGACAGTCTTTAGTTTAGTTATAAAGCACTGGTATTAGTCGACTTTAACGAATCTCTTAAATCAGGTCAGTGTACCATGGAATGAACTCACTATCTGATATCATGTCAAGAGCCACACAAGCGGTGCAAGAGGCCAAAGACGACGGCTCCACCAGTCTCTGGGAACAAATGCCACTTAGTAGGAAGCTCGCCTAAGTGTGTGTGCACTAGCATCATACCACTTGTAGGAAGTGTGCTACGCGAATGTAACTCTGTACACGGTCTTCAAGAAGAATGATAGCAATGCACTGGTGACGGATAAGAGTGGTTAGTAAGTAATTCCTGTATATGTCATTTTGGCCCCCGGCTTATACTGGAGAACAGTAATGACATTAGTCAGGCATCGTCAGTAACTTCTTGCCTCAGCGCATTCGTACCAGTGCAAGGAGCGTCTGAAGAGACCGAGCTGAGCAGTTGTGCTTACAGGAATCCAGTCAGACCACGCCCTCAGGTTGCCGCAACAGTCAGTCGGTACACATAACTGACAAATGTATCTACAGTCACCTAACGCACGGTATCCCTGAGAGCCAGCAACGACAGCCGCCTGCTCAATGACATCATGAAGTAGATGATACGCCAGGCCGTTGAAGACAGCGCCTGGAACTCACCATCAACCTTCTGCGAAGGTCAAGTAACCGCACATAACATGGTGAGAACACAACTTTTACACGTCTACCAACACTTTTTCTTTCTGTTCGGAGGAGGCGGATCTGAAAAGGTCTCAGTACTCGTCTACAGCTCGAGCAGCTCCTTAGAGAAGATTAGCCGGATAACTTGAGGAAGAAGAGGCCTGTCATAATATTAGTTCCGAGCACGCCAAGCGTATCGCACGACATGCAGTTCCATGAGCGAACAGTCAAAGATGTACAATCTAGACAAGTTTGTTGGTGTCAGCTCCTTGTAGCATGCATGTTCATACAAAGTTAAAGGTGCCTTGACTGTCTGTTAGTCATACTCGCAAGACTTCACGCAGGATGGTTCATCGGAACGCCGAGCTACCTCTTTAAGGTCACTTATTGACAAGTTTGTACGCATAAGTGAAATGTCGACTGCAGTAGAGAACATCCACAAAAGAGGACCATGTAGTTCTCGTCAGAAATCACTCAACCCTGTCTTTTAGCTTCAGTTGCCTTCCTTGATGATTCTGCAGGAACGAGTGCGTGGGTTCTATGGCAGTACTGCCAGCAGTGTTTAAAAAGATGGTGACAGGCTTTGCAGCTAGGGGCTGTACTCTAAGTTAGAGGGCAGTGTTATCGTCATCACGCAGCGGAACCACAGCAGCAGTGCAAAAGGCTTGGCCTTTGGGAGTGCTGACTTAAGCTAGAGTCGTGGCACGTAGCTTCTGACTTGCAAGACTCCGTAGTTGTCACTGGTAATGATGCATGCTTCCCAAAGAGCCAACGTCGATTAGTCAGAGACATTTTGTGATGAGGTCTGCTATCATAACAGGGCACTAGGTCAGTAAACTTTGCATCTGGTCCCTACTTGATCTAGAACCTCAAAACCAGCTCTTCCATCTTTCTTTCACTTTCAAGATGGGAGCTTTGGGCGACGAACTCAGTCATGTTAGTTGGTTGTGCATAGGAACAGATACTCTATGATCCTCCATGTCAGATACTGACCGTTGCTGGGTAGGCCAAGCATAGCACGAGGAGTCGGCGTATTCAGAGTCTTTGCTGTGACAGATCTGATCTGTGGCCACTTGCTGTTTAGAGCTTTATCCATATAGGCGGTCAAGCATGTCATAGAGCTCATCCCCATAAATGTTTCTGAGTAAAGCGTTGGGCTTCAACTTGTGCCGCAGTTGTGATGGACCCAGAGAGGCTACAAGAAGCCCAGGGTCTCTACTCCAGAAACATTATGGTGATGAACTTAAATTGCTACCGCCTATATGCGATAAAGCTCTAAAGTGGCCACCAGATCAGATCTGAAGACGGAAAGCTCTGATACCTATGCCCTTTTCCTGATTACGTGCGTAATGCCATGGAGGACATAGAGTATATGGACGAAAGTGAACAACCCAACTAACATGAGAGTCGTCGCCTCAAAGCTCCCATACAAAGTGAAAGAAAGATGGAAGAGTGGCTGCTTTCGAGGTTCAAGAGAAAAAGGGACGAAGAGCAAGGTTTACAGACCTAGTGACCTATATATACAGACAATCACAAATGGCTAACGACCCCCTCTTTGGAAGCATGCATGATACCAGGACAACTACGGAGGGAAAAGTCAAAGCTACGGCCACGGACTCTAAAGCTTGGAAGTCAGGCTGGCAAAGGGGAAGCAGTTTTGCCACAGCTGTCGCTTCCAATGAGTGAAAGAGAAAACACCGCCTTCAAACTTAAAGTACAGCCCCTCAGCCGCAAAGCCTGTCAATGCTTTTCAAAAACCCTGTTTGTTCTGCCATAGAGACCACACACTCGATTCCTGCAGAATCATCAAAGAGCAACAACCGAAAGACAGGATTGAGTTTCTGAAAGCTAAAGGCCTCTGTTTTGGATGTCTTACACAGGGACACCTTAGCAGAAACTGCAATAAAAGGATGACCTGTAAAGTCTGCTCCCTAAGACACCCAGGAATTTTGCATGTTGAGAAGGACAGTGCTACATTTAGAAAGCCAGATGAGAACATCTCAAATGGTCTCGTGTCACTGACGCAGGAAACATGTGGATACACTGGGGCCGGAGAATGTGTACTGGCTATAGTACCGGTAAAAGTCAAGTCCAGTAAAAGTGAGAAGGTTGTGGAGACGTATGCCTTCATGGACCCAGGAAGTACGGCGACTTTCTGCACTGAATCACTGAAGACACAGCTGAACGTTCGAGGCAAGAAAACTACGATCCTACTCCGAACTATGGGTCAGGAGAAGCTAGCCCAAAGTTATATCTTGTCGGACCTGGAAGTGTGTGGACTTGAAGAAAGGAAGTACATTGGACTCCCTAAGGTCTTTACATGTAAAGATATACCGGTCAAGAAAGGAAACATCCCCCTGCAGGAAGACCTAAAGAAGTGGCCATATCTGAAGGAGGTGAAAATCACCATGCTTATAGGAACCAATACCCCTAAAGCTTTGGAGCCATGGCAGGTGATAAACAGCATCGGAGACGGGCCCTATGCAGTTAAGACTGCCCTTGGATGGGTAGTGAATGGGCCGAAGAAGACGGATGATGGCAGCAAGGCAGCAGATGGAGTTGTGAGCCACATTACAGCCAACCACATCTCCATAGCTACCATAGAGGAACTGTTGATCAAGCAATATAACGCAGACTTCTCAGAACTCAGCTGTGAAGACAAAGAAGAGATGTCCCAGGAGGATCATCAGTTCATGCGGTCAGTGGTAAAATCTGCAGAGTTAAGGGATGGGCACTACTGCATTGGTTTACCACTGCGAAACGAGACAGCTAAAATGCCAGACAACCGCTGCATGGCAGAGCAACGTGCCACAAGTCTCCAAAGAAAGCTCGGCAAAAACCCGGACCTGTACAAGGGATTCATGACGGGTATAATTGGAAAAGGCTACGCTGTCAAAATTCCCATAGAACAGTTAAGCCGAGAAGATGGACGTGTGTGGTACATACCTCATCACGGTCTCTACCACCCAAAGAAAAACAAGATAAGAGTAGTGTTTGACTGCACCTCCACATATCAAGGAACCTCACTTAACGATCAGCTGCTACAAGGACCTGACCTCACAAACTCCCTTGTTGGTGTCCTTCTGAGGTTCAGAGAAGAGCCTATTGCTTTGATGGCCGACATTGAGGTGATGTTCTACCAGGTCAAAGTCCCTGACCAAGATGCTGATCTTCTGCGTTTCCTATGGTGGCAGGATGGTGATCTGAATAAACCGATGGAAGACTACCAAATGACAGTCCACCTGTTCGGAGCTACATCGTCTCCCAGCTGTCCATCATATGCACTAAGAAGAACAGCACAAGATGGAGGAGGCAAAACAACACCCGAGGTGTTGGAAACGGTTCTCAGAAACTTTTATGTGGATGACTGTTTAAATCTGTGGATTCAGAAGATCATGCTGTTGCTTTGGCCAGGGACCTCAGACATCTGTGCGCCAGTGGAGGCTTCAGGCTGACAAAGTGGGTCAGCAACAGTAGGGCCGTCCTGTCGTCCATCCCTAAAGAAGACCGAACAACGGAAGTCAAAGATCTTGACCTGAACCATAAGCAGCTTCCTATGGAAAGAGCCCTTGGTACTTAGTGGTGCACTGAATCAGACACCTTCAGGTTCAAAGTGCAACCACAGGACAAACCAGCTACAAGACGAGGAATCCTGTCCATCGTTAGCTCCATCTACGACCCCCCCGGGTTCCTGGCCCCATTGGTACTGCCAGCGAAGCTCCTTCTGAGAGACCTTTGCAGGGAAAAGAGAGATTGGGATGAGAAGATAGACAGTGGGCAGGCCCAGAAATGGATGAAGTGGTTGGCTGACCTTGAGCAGCTGTCATTGTTTATGTGCAGAGATGAGTCAAACCGGCAGGGTTTGAACCCCTGAAGATGGCACAGCTCCACCATTTTTCCGATGCCAGCATGGATGTATATGGAACAGCTACCTACATCGTGCAAACCACCAAGGCAAAATAAAGGTTTCCTTGCCGATCGGAAAGTCCAGAGTCGCTCCACTGAAACACATCACCATCCTGAGAATGGAGTTGACAGCAGTCGTCGCTGTCAAGGTCGACAAGATGCTAAGAAGAGAGCTTCAGGTTAAGCTGGAGCAATCTATCTTCTGGACAGACAGTGCTACTGTACTGAAGTATATTGAAAAACAAAAACGGACCTCCAGTAAAAAAAAAAAGGAATATAAGTTCGTAAAGTTGCTTAATTATGTTTAGATTATATGGTCCTATTTAAGTTTTTATTTTTTTATTTATGCTCCCCGTCTAGCCAATTAGGGGCCGGAAATGTAGGAGCCATATGTTAAAATGTATATTTGAATATTATAAACCTTTGTTATTAGTGCTATCATATCATTTATTTGAACCAGCCGTGTGAAATTGACGGCATAGACGACCGCAACTGTACGTGATTACGAGACGTAATAGCCAACGGCAGCTGCTGGTGATTGGGGTGTGAGAAGGAGAAAGAAGCACCGAGCAACATAGTTTTTTGACCTGGGAGAATATGTGTTTGTATTTGATACCTTTTTGTGTAAGTAAAAAAACAAACTATCCTGAGACGTATTTTGTCCGAGTCAAGCTTATTTGCTATCTGTGAGCCGAATTTTGGATTACTGGAACTACAATGCATATTCAAACATACGTTTTCAGAAAACCATTAATGCAAAAAATGATTGTCCCAATGAAAGTAATCAACCTGGGGAATGTCATAATGATGTTCGTTTGATTTTTCACCAAAGCATGCCTGAAGTCTTACCCGGGGCCAGACAGAGGAATGCTGCTGCCAGGATGCTGCAATCGATCCCTATCCTCTCCCACCAGCTGCTCTCTTTCACAACCTTCTGCACGAGCTTGGTCAGCTCCATCATCAGCGACTCCTTCTCCCCCTCTCCACCTCCTTGCCCTTCATTCTTCTTCCCCTCTGAGTCCACTTTCCTCTTCACTACCATCTCCCCCATCCTCTCCTCTCCTTCCCTCCACTCCTCTGGTACATTCTGCATGTCGGCTCCCGTGCTGGTGACCGGCTCACAACAAGCTCACCGTGCGGTTAGTGTCCTCTAACAAACAGCCGGAGATAAACTGCCTGCACGCTGCGCCCTGAGAGTAAAGTCCACACATTGCCAAAGTCCTTATTGGCTACATGAGCACTGTCAGAGAGGCCCAGCCCCCTTCCTTCTGCTTCAATAGCTCCTGCACCCTCCTCCTCTATACCACCTCATCTCTTACTCTTTCCTCCCCTTTTCCCCCCAGTCAGCTGACTCCTGACGCAATCCAGAAGCATCCGAATGTGTTGTCCCACTACCCAAAGATGTAATGTGATGGAAATCCTTGGAAAATCCTGTCGCAGGCTGCCTCACAAAACTGCTGCTGCTCCGCTCAGAGTGGACCTCTCCCTCCTCTGAGCTGTCTCATACATTCTGCATGCGGCTCACCCCCCCTGTGCTTCTTTGTGTCAGCTCCCCTCCCCTCCCCTCCCATCTCTGTAACCTTGGCAAATGTCCTGGGAACGGAGAGGAGAAAGGAGCTGATTAACAGTGGCTGTTCAGTAGTTTCTTCACAAGGAGAAGGTTCAGAACTGGAAAGGAATATGCTAATGTGCAAGAATGTGTTCTGACAGTCGGGGTGTGTGTTTATGACCAGAGCATATGTATCTGGTGTCAGTGCTGCCTTTTTGTTTCTGGAGACAGGCCAGTGTTCTGGGCTTGAGGCCAGGCGGACTGCGATGTGCTCTTTCAAGTATACACAGTGTGTATTTTTTACTCTGAAGGACAGCAGATGCTGCAGAGGAAGGAACATAAGGCTGTCTGCCAGCTCAGCTTACACTCTCCCTCAGCCTCAGCTTGTTGTTTGCTTGTTGCTGGGGAGACATCCCAGGTGAATAGGTGAAACACAATGTTCCGCGGTTTATTAAAACAGTTTTTCTTTTTGTATTACATGGAACAGAAATCTGTTATTGGACAGGTAAAACAAACAACAGTTTAATTTTTGTTGACATTTTAGATTTTTACAGAGGGAAGTTCAACTAACAAGAAACTTTCCATAGTTCATTAAGACAATTTTTTTTTTGTGTTACACGGAATGGAAGAGGTCAAAGGGGCCCTATTATGCTCATTCTCAGGTTCATATTCATGTTGTGTCTCTACTGTGACATGTCTCCATGCTTTAATGTTCAAAAAGCTCTTTATTTTTCTCATACTGCGCGTGTTGCAGCACCTATTTTCACCCTCTGTCTGAAACCAGAGCCCAGTCTGCTCTGATTGGTTAGCTGGCAGGCTTTGTTGTGATTGGTCAACCACTTAAAGATGTCCCACCCCTTAGCCTATCAATTACAATGTGTTGGAGCGCTATGCCAATAGAAAAACGACTGTTACGTACTCAGTGATGTCATTATGTTACGGAGGTAACGGAAGTGGATGTTTTTTTTTTAAATAAGGCATGTTATGGAAGAACAACAGCCCAAACAAAATGTACATGAAGTGCATCATCAAAAATCAAAAATCAATGTTTTTGCTTTTGGTGTCTTGCCTTAAATCATAGTGTAAAATCATAGTGTATTTTTACTCTAAAGGACAGCAGATGCTGCAGTAAAGGACAAACAAGATCACCAGGCAGTATGCCAGCTGCACTCACATCCTCCCATAGGCCTTAGGCCTGTTGTTTTCTATTTATTAAAAGGACTAATCATTCATCAGTGTCACTCATTTTAACAAAGAATGATAAATAAATGGTGCAAAGGTCAAGTTTATTTTCACAGGTTGGTATTATCGACATGTATTCACTCACAAAACAATAGTCATTTTCACTTTATTTTAATAAAAGATCATTATAATTGTGGGTACATCTTTTGATACAAAAACAGTCTTTTACAAACATACAATGGACATTCATGCACAGCCATACTCTTAAGTGCACAGACACAGACCTTCAGTGAAACTAAATATGCCACAGAGCAACCAGAGATAACAGTGCTATCTAACGCACACCCACATAATATTTTCTTAACTGTTGCAACAGAATTTGCAGACAATGGCAGTCGTTGAAATAGTCCATATATAGTAAGTTACCATTTTGTATGTGCCATGGAGTAAAATAACATGTTTGAAGTAAGAAAACTGCACAATAAAAACATATAAACAACATTTTCAAAGGTTATGTGCATTCAGTAATACATTAATCATTCACATGTAATAATATGCGAGGATTACACATGAATGTCATTGGAAGGGAATACATACAGAAACACTTTGTATCTGTGTGTTTGTATATGTGGCAAAGCTTTCAAATGTCTTCTTTTCCATGTTTCGGTCTGGATTCCATGTTGACTCCACTGACAGGATTAGGAAATGATAATTGTACATGGAGCCAGCATCTTGAATGCATAATACCTTCAATGTGTGTTTGTCCTGTAAATTAAAAGGAGAAAATGATGTTTTCATACGAAACAAACACATGTGTCATGCTAATGGTTACAGGCCTGTCGTTATATCAAAAGTCACCACTAGATGGTGCCATTCAAAAAGGCTCCGCTGCAGACCCACACAGGTGCTTTCAGTTATACTGTGATTAGATGTCTGAAAATGTCATTAAATGCTCTGTTTTCCCTGTCTACCTATCTCTTTTTTGAGCACGCCTTTTGAAATTACTCCGACTGTTTCTCTCTTCTTGTCTCGTCTCTGTGTGTGTGTTTGAATCTATCGTGCTGACTCACTGATTTGCACCGATTTGATTGGCTGAGTAGCGTCACCTCCTTAAAACATTAAACAATAACCTTTTCAAACCTATTTATCTTTATGTTTTAAAACATTTTTAACATGTTCAACATCGTGGATAAATCCTTATATGCTCCCGGCAACACACTGAACGTCAACTTTGCCTCCTTATTACACTCACCCCTACTTTAGTGGGAACAATGAGTCTGCGTCTTTGATGCGCACAGGCGGATGCAATGTAGACAGGAACAAACGCAGATCATCCCCTGGCTGCAGCCTTGACCGGTACTTGCTTTTGATCAAAATCAATGCTCTTTCTGTCAAGGAATGTTTCCAAATGTTTGGAAGCCGGCTGTAGTTATCCCAATCTTTAAAGGTGGAGACCCAATGTCTACCAATAACTACAGGCCAATTAGTATCCTTCCTACAGTATCAAAAGTTGTTGAAAAAGCTGAACAAATTATTAACCATCTGAATAACAGTGCTTTTTCTCTGCATCCAATGCAATGTGGCTTTAGGGCCAGAAACAGCCAACTGTTTTTTCACAGAACAAATCAAATCCAAAATGGATAAAGGTGGTGTTGTAGGAGCAGTGTTTCTCAACTCAAAGAAGGCCTTTGACACTGTTAATCACAAAAAACTCATATCTAAGCTATCCAGCACTAACTTCTCCACACAAACATTTAAATGGATAGAATCATATTTGTTCAACTGTTCTCAGTATGTCAGAGTACAGAATAATCAATCATCTAACCTCCAGCTGTCAACAGGTGTCCCACAAGGGTCAATTCCGGGTCCATTGTTATTTTCATTGTATATAAACGACTTACCACCGATATGTCCTGATACAAACATCCAAATGTATGCTGATGATACTGTAATTTATGTTCACGGAGGCAGTCTGACACAAGTGGCTAATGAGCTGACGAATACGATGGTTAATGTAACAGCTTGGTTGGAGCAATGCTGTCTGCAACTAGATGTCAGTAAAACTGTATGTTCTTCACCAAAACCAAGTCCTCTTGCGTTGAGCCAGATGTGTTTGTGTCCGGGGAGAGGCTACAGGTGGTCTCACAGTACAAATACCTGGGGGTCTTAATTGATTCAAGACTCAATTTTAAGGCTCAGGTGAAAAGGGTCTGCAACAGGGTCAAATTCAGTCTGTCAAATTTGAGGTTTACCAGAGATTGCATGTCAACAGAGGCGGCTCTGATGTACATGCCCTATGGTTCTATCTCACATCACCTACTGCTTAACAACCTGGTCGCATGTCTGTAAAACCACTCTTAAACTCCTGGAATCATTATACAAAAAAACACTTAAAATAGTAGATAAGAAATTTGTTCATTCTCATCATTGCCCAATACTCACAAAATACAACTTGTTGGGCTGGGAAAATATAATTAGATATGCAAATGCTTGCCTCATGTACAAAATAATTCCTCCATCTTGTTGACTGTAACACCCTCTCTTGTATATAAGCATATCAAGGACTCTGTGAATCTGGGAATTACTTGTCCCACGCAGCTCTGTGTGTGAACTTCCATTTTTGCAAGGATAATAAATACATATATGTGATATTTTTCTAACAATCGCCATCTGCACAAGAGCATTAGTGTTTCTCACTGGTCAAATATGCTAAAGACTGAAAGCAAATGGAACAGAATCTATAACCACATGTGCTTCTAGGTCAGGGTTGTTCCAAAAGGACCAAAAGGGCCACATACAGAAAAACATATGAAGGTCTGGGCCACTATCTAGAGGTGAGGTATATTGCTTCATAAGTTAAGTTATAAGTTAACAAAATCAATCAAATGTATGTAAATTATTCTTGATACTTGAATAAGCTTTTCAGGCTTGTTATGCAAATAAGTTATTGGCCTTCTTATTATCAACTAAGATTTGTTACAATATTGTTTCAACTTTAATTGACTGAATGAATTTGAAAAGTGGCCTTATTAACAGATGACTACTGTGTAATATATGTTTAGTTATATTTAAGAAGTACAATATAAGAAAAGCATACCATTTGAATTTGCTGGGGGCCAATAAAAAATGGACAACGGGCTGCAGTTGGCCCCCGGGCCGTAGTTTGGACACCCCTGGTCTAGATCTATGTCTCAAAACTATCAGGTGGAAACCACTAAAGTTTGAAAAAATTATCCATTACAGATAAAATAACCACATGGGACTGTATGAACGTTTGGTAAAAGATCTCTATGGGACACTGGATATATAAAGTCTGCTCATTAGATCTAGCTTGGTAAGAATGGCTAAATGTCTTCCAGTTAACATATTTCTTCCTATTGTTGTATTGCCCATAGCTCTAGCAAATAAATAAGTGATACCTTTTAGATTTAGGGACAGCATTAAGCCATCCACATCAATTCAAGTTTTACAATTCTCTGGTGTCTGTCATCCACATTGAATGTTTTGTATACAGTATGCCTATGCATGTCAAACAAAGGCTGATGTGGTAAAAAAGGAGAGTCCTTTATTCTTTTTCAAACATCATGTATTATAACACTGACCTTCAGAGCTCAGTGTCTTCAATGGCCTCTGGTTCGTCTATGGTGTCCAGGCGTCTCTTGCAGGCTTCCAGAAGTTTCTTCCTTGGGCCCAGAGGGATATGAATGCTGGTAAGATCATGATCTGAACAAAGCAGCAGAGCCTCCAGGTCGATCTTCTCTCTCCTGAAGATTAGCATGAACTCACTGAGGCTTTGAGAGGCCAGGAAAGTGTCCAGAGGACTGCTCTCTAGCTCCAAGTCCTCATCCATCCCAACGTCCGTCTCCTCCCATGGCAACTCCTGAAGGTTCCTTTCTTGCAGGCTCAAGGCACTGCCAATACTGTCCTCATCCAAGCTGGGCGAGCGTTGAGGCAGAGGTCCTCGTAGTCGAACATTAGGTGCCCGGCCCAATGGTTCACTTCCCACTACACTCCCTTCATCCCGTGTAAACATGGCTCCAGTCAAATAGTTCCTCCTGAACACCATGGTGCCAAGCCCAGGTCGGGTGAAGAGAGAGTCACGTCCGGAGTCTGCACTGATCTCTGAATACGCGGTCTCGTGGAGGCCTGGCTCGCTCATGGCACGAGAGACTGTGTCGCCGTCGTCGTCATGGTCACGGGCGAACATGTCGCGGATGTTGAGGCGAGATCGCTCCTTGGGGTTGGCGTATGTGCCCTGTTTAAGGAACATGACATCATTGCCGAGCTGCAGACCAGAGAGTGAGCGCACACTTTTCCTACCGTCCTCGTAGATCTTGAAGGTTCCATCACCCTGCTTCTTCTTCTCTAGTTTCCTCTGTATCTTGGCCTTGCCCTTGGCTGTGGATTGCAGCGTGGCCTGAGAAGCAAGTATAGAAATTAAGAAATAAGAAACACTCATTTAGATCAAGAATGGATATACCCAAAAACAATCACTGGTGTTGCAACTCAAACAACGGCCAAGTCCTTAAAGCTGGTACCACTAGCACAATAGAGGATAACTTTCTGTGTCTTTCCAAAAACTTGAAACATGGTCCTGGACTTCTATGATTCATAACCAAGATAAATAAGATATTGCTGTACTAGACAAGCATCTTATTGTTTTAACTAAGATAAAGCAATTCATTTATTAACATGAAACTCCTACAGCTAGGCTGATGTTAAGCAAAGACTTTACCATTGGACTTTATTTTGGAAAGAATGTGTACGGAAGTCAAGGGCAAGAATTGTGCCTGAATACATACTGTATATGATGTTCAAATAAAAGGATAATTTAGCAAGTCAATAAAGTTCTCGTAAAACTGACCGAGTTTAAAGACTTTGAGAATATGTCATTGTAAAGATTACACAGCCAAAAGTTATAAATTTGTGCCTCATGTATTGTACGGGGTATTGCTAATTATTTGGCTTCCCAGCTGATAAAATGACCAGGAGTGGCTGTATAAAACACGTTAGGTAAGATAACGTTACATTTGCAATGGTTTAGACCTAAATTGACTAGCTAGTTTCTTGGTTATCTCTATTGTGCGAGTTAGATGCCATTCAATGAGCCGTCTTGCCAAAATTCAACGGTACTGCACCTTTTGTGACTTGCAGACACCATTTGGGATATGCATGGCACATTTAAAATGCGACTAATCATTTGTTTCATGCCTTAGGCTATACCAACATGCTTTTTTCTGAAACAAGGTTCCATCCACATCCACTTTGTATGTTTATATATTCCATTTTAACACCACTACCTGCGAGTATGGCATGTTGGAGGTCACAGTGTTGAACTTGCGGCTCAGTGTGCTTCCGCTGTTGTAGCTAGAAAAGCTGATAGCATCCAGGTTGTCTAAAGCTGCTGACTCCTTCATGAACTTCCTCTCCATGTGTTCACGGTGCTTCCTCTGGAGCTTTGCACAGTCTTTGATTCGGCGCTCTGCTGCGCGAAACGCCCGGTCTTTGAGTTTGGTGACCAGCTTGGGGTTGAGGGTTATCTGCTTGGCAGTGATGGAGTCCAGGTAGCGAACGCAGTCCATGTGTCCCTTGGTGGCGGCCATGTCCAGCGGTGTGTGGTAGTCATTGTCCAGACACCACACGTTGGCACCGAAAGCGACCAGGAAGGACAGGCAGTTGTGGTGGCCGTTGGCAGCTGCCAGGTGGAGCGGGGTGTTGCCCCAGATGTCACACTTGTCCGGATCGCCTCTGAAAGACAAGGCGCAACGTAGGATCTCAACATTACTGGATTCACGTATACAGTATGATTTCTGTCTCAAGAACCAGCACATTTTTCACAGATTTAAGCTATTTTAATTTTAAAACACGCTATATGGTGACAGTAAATGGACACCACTATCCATGTGGCTACTTTGCAACCCTTTCTCCTATTAAATGAAGTTCCCATACAACTAAATGGGACTTCAGAGTAGGGACCAAGTGATATTCTTGTACATTTAAACAAAAAAACAATAAAGTTGCAAAAAATACTTGGGAAAGTTATGTTTGTTGTATTTCTTTAATTCACCGACATACATTAAAATAAGTCTCCTGGGAAAAGATCTATTTTTGTTTGACCCACCCACCTCGACCTCCTCCATAAGCACTTCATTTTGTTTGGGTGAGCAAATACCTTTTCCCTTAAATTGTCAATGCCGCAAATTGGGAACAATTTAAGACCAGGCGGACTTTTGGTTTGGGGTTATTTGTAATATTACACAATACAAGAGTTAGGGGTGTTGTCGAGCAAAGTCCAAGGACCAATCTATATTGTGGACATTTTCCGTAGATCTTAGTTATTATACACCAAACAGATGTTTTTAGCAGCGTTCTGGCATGCTGCAGACACTGAGAAAAACTCAACCTCACTTGCTGATCGCCTTACAATACAGCTTGAACTTTAGGAAGTAAGATGACTCACATGACCTGCAACTCTGTCAGGTCATACAGGGAAAATGACTCTACGTTTTACAGTCATTACTTGAAAGGCAGTGTAATAGTAACATCAGATCAATCCTGATCAATTTGACTTTTTTTGATTATTTTCTTCATTTTATTTAATTGTGAACTGAATATATTTAGGTTTTGGCTTGTTGGTCAGACAAATAAGCAATTTGAAAATAATACACCTTTTTTTAATCACTTTTAGAGTTAAAAGAAATATGATAATGATTAAAATGTATCTAAATAAAATATAGATTCAGTTATTTAAAAAACGTAATCTATAGCCTTGACATTTACAGTGCATCATCACTATGTTTGTAGTCTTTTTTGTAACCCTTGTTTAATGACAAGGAAACAATAAAATGGCAATATAACCAAGATATCAGTAAAGCACTACCCACAATGCTGTGTAAGCAAGTAAAAACAGGACAAAAAACCACAACACATGCTGGACTTTGACACACATAGCATGTTGAATTGTCCACAGTGCGCGGTACAGTTTGTTTGTTTTGAGTCCCTCCTCTTCCTGTTTTCTCTCCGCCCTTATGACCGGGCCGTGGCAGGGGCCTGATCAATAATTGAAGCGCTGCAGGTTAAACATGTCAGAGGTGACGATGCATTATTTATCCCACACACCAAGAGCCTTTTTTCTGCAGACACCTAAAGGCACAGTTACCACACGCAGCAGAGTCACTACTTTTATCAGCTTGATCCTTGATTTCAGATCCTTGGTAACTGCAGACCTGGCAAATTGTACAAATGCCCCATTTAATTAGATCCAATATATGGTGTGGTTTATTTTTATGTTCAGAGCATCAAATGTTCCTGTTTTATATTTCCCTGTCAGCTGAAAGGGCGATTAAGCGGATCCAATTCCAATGGTACAAGCAAGAAATCACCAAACTATCTCACACGGTAACTGGAACCATCTGCAGCTCTGCCAGAACCTCTGACTCAGAGTTGATACACCAACCTCAAACAACCATCTGTTTACTCTGAAACTTTAATACTGTTTGGTACCAACCGAAACGTATCCTCGTTCTCTGTGAAATGTTGCCCGGAAGTTCCCACTGACTACAGATCACACATCTGACTGCACAGGAAGCTGTGTCTTACCATAAGATAAGATGGACCCTCATTTATCCCAATGGGGGAATTCAGGAGTGTAAAGCAGCAACAGAGTGAGAGTGAAAAACAGGACAGTATAACATTATATAAGTAACTGTTAAAAAGAAATATCACAACGAGGTAAAACGTTGATAATTTGAGCCCTCCCCTCAGCCACCTCCTCCAGGTTGTCCAGTTTTATGAACTTGTTCAGCCATACCACCGGCAAAGAAGAGCACACTGGATAAGAAGTTGTTCCCCAGAGGATAAGGTGTATTTTGTTTGTGATAATCAGGTCACAATTTGAATGTGTCCAACGCTAGGAAACAAATGTTGACATGATAACATGTTCAGGGGACCATGATAGACGTGCAAACCATCAGCATGTTCACTGTGAGCCTGTTGTTTTTGATGTACCTAGGAACAGCCTCATAGAGCTGCTAGCAGGACTGCGTACTCTTAAACTGTGTTCCAAATCATATACTAATGTACTGTACTTAACTGCATTGATCACATGACTGTTTCTATCACTATATGCAGAGGTGGGAGAGGTACTCAGATCTTGTACTTAAGTAAAAGTAGAAGTTCAAGAGTGTAGGAATACTCTGTTACAGTAGGTTACTCAGGTAAAAGTACACAAGTATTAGCACCAGAATATACTTAAAGTACCAGAAGTAAAAGTAGTCGTTGTGCAGATTGGTCCATTTCAGAATAATATGATATGTTTAATAATGATTGATCATGAAAGTGTTCTCAAAGCTGGTAAAGGTACAGCTAGTCTGAATGACTTTGTATACTGCAGGGTAGCTTGTGAATTTACTCCAGGTGGAACTAAAGTCTGATTTAACACTTGATTATATTTCACATCATTCATCTACATCTGTAAAGTAACTAAAGGTATTCAATAAATGTAATGGAGTAAAATTGTACTTAAGTACAGTACTTGAGTAAATGTACTTACTTTCCACCTTTGACAATATGGGGCAGTTGATGATGTCCACCAAGCTCACGCAGTGTACTCAGCAAAACTTTGCTAATGTAATATACCTCTAAGCATTTCTCACATACACAATAGTTCGCACACTATTATAACGCAGTACATACTCCATTTCTGTCTTCCTATGGCCTACAATGAATAGTAGGTTATTATGCAATTTCATACTCATAGTTTATTTAGGTCAACTTGTGTACCACGTTAGCAAAATATTATCTGCAATAATTAATTTCTAAAAGTGCCTGACATTTTTTGAGTGATGGCTCCCACATGAACAAACTATTTTCTGCCATTTTGTTTCTACTTCTTCACTGGTTTAAAGGTAATGCTTTATGCATTCACTTTCAATTACCATTAGATGTTTTTTTAGACTTTGATTTTTGCTTATTAAGTCATGAATATTTAGGATAAAAATACTAGTTTAAGTTTCTTTATTAATACATTTTTCATATGGCTGCTCAATTAAACGGTTCATTGATATTTAGTAACACTAAGGGTTCTGTTTCAGCTGATATTGTGCCTTAGTGGTACAAATGCAGTCAATTGGGGTGTGGGGCATCAGTTCTGATGCCTACAGAAAGTTGTTATGCACATTTGTTCTTGAACCAGATATTTTACTTGTTGAATCAGAATTGTTATTTTTCCCCCTATATTTTAGTTAGACAATGTTTCTTAAATGACCAACATTTTGGCTACCTTATTCTGTTGTTCAATTGTTTCAGTTCTAATGTGTAAAACGAAGAAAATAAAAAAAGTACAATCTGAAAAGTTGATGAGAAATTACACATTTTCTTGGTTACAACCGCTACTGTTTTCTTCATCTTCTGCTGGGAATTGAACTGCAGCTCAGTTTACTATTCTGTCTTTGCTTCACTCTTTACACCACATGCTCCATGACCCATTGCAGTGTATCAAACAGTCTCTATCCATCACTGTGACCTTTCCCTCTGTCTGTGTCCCTCCCAAGCATCAGACCCAACTGCCCTCCACTTTACTGCTCGCCTTATAAACTTGCCACCAGCAGCATGACATACTGCACTGTTCCCTGCTGTGAAATATCACACTGCTTCCTCTCCTAAACCTTTAACAAAAGCCTTTTATCCTTATCTCAGTTTTCTTTCACAAATATGCAGCAATGCATGAGGCTGCAAGAATGCAGATCCTATCCACCGCAGGTGATGTGTCAGATTTAGTGTGTTATACCTGCACCTGAACTGGGCCTATGTCATGGATTAGCCACACATGTGACATTCAAATAAAGTAATCATGCTTCAGTCTTTCTACTGCTATAGAGTGTGTTTTATGTTTGAGCATCAGCTGCAAGTGACCTTTCCTTTGTAATCAGGCAGTTAAAATGTATAGCACTGCATCTCCAGCGACCCTGATTATATTAGCAATGGGGGTGGGTTATAAGATTTTTATATTCATGCGAATATAAGCACACAGCGCTGAGGTCAACAATATACAATTTGTTAATATTTATTTGTGTGAAGCTTGAGGATCAGGGAGATTGGCATTAAGACATTTTATAATAACAAACAGCAAACTGGGGACATTACTCACTTCTTTCTAAATGTTACATTTTTACATTCTTTTTGTTTATAGAAAATTCCACAATACTTGATTATAGTTGGTCCCATTCAAGCCCAAAGAGTTACATTATTACATATGTGCACATCTTTCGTATTCAACATATAAATACATGTAAACTAAATAGAAAGAATAGTCCTGTGCACACAGGCATAATATATTATGACAAGAATAACTTGAATAAGAATAACATTTTTTTTAATGTTATCAGATTTGTCCTTATTTAAGAGTAGAGAACAGTTCTACCATAGAAATTTAAAATATAGTTCAATATGTAAAGGTTTTTTTCCTAGAGCACGTGAAGTAAATAGAAAAAAATCCACTTATTTACATACAGAAAACAGCGTCAAAATAATATAATAAAAGGTAAACAATAACTGTTGGTCATGTAAACAGACACGTTACAATATTTTCCCTCTCGGACATTTCTGCTGAAATGAGCAAACAGGTGTTAGTGGATGAACTATCTCTCTGGTGAGGGAGGATACTCGGACTCACCCTCTCCCCACGATGAGCCGCAGGGCCTCCAGGTTGCCGTGGTACGCGGCCCACAGGGTCGGTGTCATACCATCCTCATCCGGGGCGTTCAGCTCCTTCCGTGTGGCCTCCTTCAGCACGTCCAGGTAGCCGTCCCGGGCCGCCCGGTGGTACCGGTCGTTCATGGCGGCGCCTCTGCTTCGGCAGCCCGCCTGGCTCACTCTGGGTTCGGTTCCATGGAGGTTCCGGAAGGTTTGCCTTGTTAGTAAGGCAACTTTTAAAGTCCGGTAGCGGCGTGTGAGCAGCGGTCCGACGGCCTGGAGAGGCACGGAGCTGGCTGACAGCCTAGTTGCTAAGAGACGAACACGAGGCGTGCTCGTTGTCAAGCAGGGGCGGAACTATAAATAAAATACCCGCCCCTTTTTTTTGGTTTGATTTAATTATAACATCTATTCATTTTATTTTTTGTTTCTTTGTAATTCCCTCGTTCTCTCACACGAAGAAAGCACGTTGTGGCAGTAACAATTGCACTGAAAATAGCAATATTAAATATAAAATGTGGTTATCTGCATTTCTTATTAACTAATGATGGTGTAGTTAAATCAGGAATCATGCAACATAGATATTTTTTTATTTAGAATAATAACCCAAGTATATCCTTAACATTTTTGCAATTTTGAAATCCCTAAAGTAAAATAAAGTATACTTTAAATATAGAAGTAGCTGTATTTTGCAACCCAATTTCAGACTTTTGGATACATTTTTCCTACTGTTCAGGCATGGTTTCCATTACTTTCTGTGTGTTTCTAAAACCATTTAGAAGATAGTGAAGTTAATATCTTTGACATTTTTAAATTGTGCATTTATCTAGTTTGAATGCATTTATATTACAAATGTAGCCCCTGTAATCTTTACCAAAAATAATGCAGACTCTGTGTGGTCTGATGACTTTTAAAACTCAAACTAGTTCAAAGTTCTACTGACGTGTGCTCCCCTACAATAGGGAAATACATGGAAACCAGCACCTTTCCTAAATAGCGGAAACAAATACAATGACATTTCCATATCAAACGCAACATATTTACAAAATACAAGGCATGATAAAGCAGGCCTACACTCAATTGGTTTTAAATTGGTTAAAACATGCAAAACCACCTGCATGAACATTTGAACGTGACGCTGAAACTAAATCCAGCAGTTTCAGCATGTTATCAGCTGTGACTGAACTATTAGCTGCTACTTGAAGTGATAAGAGTGATGTTTCATTTATTAGTCAGTTCCTGGTGTAGAGTGAACACAAGCAGTGGCACTACCTGGCAGAGAGCCCGGCTGATAAACCCTTCCAAAGTAAAATAACCTCACTGACCAAAAGAAACACTGCCCAAAAAAATTGTTCCTCAGGAATTTAAAGTACACAGTGTGAGTATTCATATACAAATGATCATTTTAAGGGTTTGTGTTTAAGTCTTTTAAACAAACAAAAGCTGAGATAAGATTCTGCTCAGCTTCTTTGGGACCAGGAAGCGACTTCAAGTAAAACTAAGGTCAACATGAAAAGTAAACACTACACCTGTGAAAGGTGTGTTATAAATGTTGTGAACACACCTACACTGGTGTGGGAGGCGGATTGCAACACCCTTCAGTTGCAAGCCTTCACATGTCGAACTGCGGGAAAGTAAAAAGAGAAAGTCCTTGGAACTGAATGGAAAGCAGAAAAAAAAGAAGGAAGGTGAAAGGAACTAAGGATTGTATCTTGAAGTAAAATCATGAATGATAACGGCTTAACAGAGCTGGATTCCTCCAGTGGGAAAGCTGGAAATCTCCAAAATGATGAACCAGTTAAGAACTCAGAACTTCAGATCCAGGAGCCGGAGCAGGACCCGGTTCTGGTGTGGGTCCCCAGCGGGAGGCGTCTGATCTCAGGTCTGCTGGGTCTGAATCTGATGCTGCTGGGGGCCGCCCTGGTGGCCGGGCAGGCCTTCAACCCTGAGGGCCTGAAGCGCCAGGAGCCCCAGGTGTTCATACTGCTGCTGATGGGGGCCAGCATGCTGTGGATGCTGTGGTACCTGCTGTGGGCCAGTAAGCAGCTTGGCATCTGCCCACACATGGACCACCACGCCGGGGGAATCACTGTCACCGGTAGGCTCCTGTATCATTTTGACAGAATACTAGATTATATTAGTTTGAATCCTGTAATAAATATGTCTTTCTCTCCCTGTGCTCCAGTGGTGCTCATGCTGTTTGCTGCATTCAGTCTGCTGCTGTATATCTTCAGGGTTGGTTATTTGATCAGCATGAGGGAGTGTAAGCCCGCTGCTAAAGTGCTCTCTCCATTCATCGAGGCTCCCTTCCTCGCGCTGCAGGTACGGATTTGTATACTATGGGAAAGAGAACATCAGCTGGTTCACACTGAACAGGGGCTACAATGAGCAAAACTAAGAGGATTGTGGAAGAAAGGAACATGATCATTGTGATGTAACAGCTAGTAGTATGAATATTCTTATCTATTATAAAAAATAAATAAATGGACAAAGCATGCCATAGAAGGTGACCTTTTTCACCAGGCCAAGTGGAGGAATGTGTTATTTAAACAGCCCTTGGGAAAAAATGCTAAATGTACATTTATTATTATGGATTTATCTTGATTGAAACAAGAAAAAGACAAACTGTGCAAATGTTGAATTGTAATAAGCATGCGTACGAATAGAGCTTCAAACATCCCTTATAATAATCTTTGAATTGCTTTAAAAACTGCATAGTCTTTAAAATCACCCCACAAGTAAAGTTCATTCAGGAACTGTGTCACAAAACAATATAAACTCATAGGTCTACTTGCCAACTTTGTAGAGAGATTTCAACTACAGCTTAGAGTGTTCATCAGCCAGTGAAATTGGTTTGGTCATCAAATATTTGTGTGAAAGATCAAGGGACAGATAGCTTGAATAAACATTCCATTTTCAAAAATATTGGTTTATAATGTGACAGCTCAAAAACGATAAGTATTTTTTATAAAAGTTGAAACGTTTAAGGTAGATAGAATCTAGTTCTCTACTGCACACCAAAAATCCAAAACGGAACCAAACTTTGATTCCAACATGTCTTGGCTCATTTATGTGCCCTCTATAACTTTTTTTTCTGTAGCATGACAATGTTATTTTAAAAAAGTACTTAGTAAATGTAGTGCTTTATTGTATAACTGGTTATACTGGTTTTATTTTGCAGACATATTTACTGTGGGCTCACTCCAAAGACTGCATTCACAGACATAAGATCATCACCAGGTGCATGTATATTTTCCACAGGTTTAATATTCGAGGGAATGTTATTGTTGCATTTGTGTTTTGAACCTTCTTATTTGACTGTATGTGCTGCAGGTCGGGGCTGATGGTCATCCTCTCCGCTGACCTGGTGCTGTGGCTCAACGCCGTGACGGAGGACACCATCCACGAGGAGATCGAGTTAGAGAAAGAAGACCGGCTGGACTTCAGCAACATAAACTCATCTGAAGCAGACCGCTCTGATTTAGCAGGTAGGCTACTCAAACGTCTCAGGTGGAATGATGCCCCTCCCCCTTTAATCAAACACAATTACTTACTTTGAAAAGTAAGTAAATGTATTCAAGTTTTGCAATTTTGAGGCACTTGCACTGTTGATTAATATTAGTATTAGTTTTTATCCTCATACTACATTTTACTTCTACCCTACTGCATCTCAAATGGAAATATTGTACTTTTTACCAAACTGTGTTTATCTGAAAGCTTTATACAATTACATTTGTTTGCACAAAATACATGAAAATGTGCTATTCCAGCTGAAATCATTATAAGATAAGCTGAAAATGAATGGCTAAATATTTATCATTTCAGATTTCTTTATGTAAAAAACATTTCATGGATCCAGCTCGACAAGAAGATGCACTGATTTTCTTTTAATATTGATAATAAGTGTAATATACTAGTAATCATTTTTAGATTTGGGATTTCTTACTTTTTTCACAAAGCAACCACTCAATCGATAAAAAACTGGCATAATATATAACAGTCACAGAGGAAATTATAAATACTTACATTTTCATTTGACTGAATATACTTACTTGCGTTACACTTTCAATGCAGAATTGTAACTTACTAACAGGGTAGTTTACTGTATAATCAGTCATTTTACTCAAGCAAATTACTTGAATGTGTCCTCTACCAGTGCGTGTACTACATGTCTATATATTTTAAACATTCCTCCATGCCTGCTTCAGGACTTGCCAATTCCACCTGGTGCCAGTGCAGTGCGAGTGCAGGCTGCCTGATCTTCAGGAAAGGCTTCGAGATCCTCTACCCCTTCAACATGGAGTTCTACCTGATGGCAGGCTGCTTGATCTACGTCATGTGGAAGAACGTGGGCCGCAGGATGAGTCCGGGCCCCCACCACGAGTCTCAGAAGCTCACCTTCCAAGTTGTCTACCAAGGGGGGGTCATATACGGGCTGGTGTTGGGGGCCCTGGTGCTCGCAGCTGGGGTGGCCGTCTTCATTCTCTACCAGGTCTGGGTGGGGCAGCAGCAGCTCCGCCTCACCGCCTTCCACATATTTTACGGGTACCACCTTGCCGTGATGCCCGCCATGTCTCTGTGTTCCCTGGGCGGGATGCTGGTCTACAGGCTGGAGAGGAGGGCCAACGAGGGGGGGCACAACCCCACCCGCAGCCTGGATGTTCTGCTTCTGGTGGCAGCTTCTCTGGGTCAGCTCGCCCTGTCCTACTTCTCCCTGGTGGCGGCGCTGGCTGTGGGGACCCAGAGGCCCCTGGGGGACCTGGACCTGTCCTACTCACTCCTCAGCCTGCTGGAGCTCATCCTCCAGAACATCTTCATCATCGAAGGCCTGCACAGGCACCCCAACCTCTTCGTCAAGAGGAAGGAGAAGCAGCGGAGCAGCATCTTCAAGGTACCTGCTAGGGCTGCTTTTAGTTAAATATACATTTTAAGTCTTATTTATGTAAACATTTCATATTTTTCTCATCAAGCTTTTGATAAATAGCTTATTTACAAGAAATAATAACACAATTTTCACAGATCTTTCAAGTAAATCAACTTTTTGACGGCAAAATTATTTCTGTTTCAGTCAAATTAGATATTTTGTATAGCACTCCCTGCATTTAATGTTTTGTATACTGGAACTGGAAGTCAGCCATTTCAAAGGTTTTGTTTCAACATTAAACTCTGCCACAGCCTAAGAAAAAGGTTGCTGCTCAAACACCAGAAGAGAGGAAGACAGATGTTTCGCTGCTGGAGGGGAATACGTCAGCTGCTGCTGAAGAGCATGATGGGAAAAAACCCTGGACCAAAAGAGCCATACAAGAAATCTGTGCCTTCCTCATCCTTTCTAATGTTATGGTGAGTGTCTGTTGTCTGATTTATTCGAATCTTTATTTATTTCTGATTATTTTTGACTTTTTTAATGATTGAGCATACATCTTGTGAGGTTGTGATTTTTTTTGCATTTGTTGCCGTCAGTCAGTACCCTTTAATAAGTCTTATGGGGAAGGGGTGTAGCGGAAGTACAGTCTGTAAGACCAAAAATAATCCCCTAACACTTCACATACAAATTATATTTGAGTTGTTTTTATTGAAAATGATTACACTCTGATATAATATTAGGTAGTAATACTTTAGGTCTGATGTTGGTAAAATACTAAATTCAGTAAAAGTGAATATAATATTAATGTATAATATTTTCCTAGCAGTTGTAGGAAGGGATACTTTTTTTGAATCATACTAAATGCATCTTAACTCATGTTGCTCATCATTGACATTTCCTAGACTTTGAAACATAAAAACAATTCTCCCTGGCTATTTACATTCCATTTTAGTGTTTTAAAATAAATACAAAAAATCAGTATTTTGCTTTAAGAAGTGAAGTTCGTTAACATTTTAACTCAATGAAAGTGGAAAATAATATTTATAAACTTTTTGGGGCGGGTTTTTATAACTTTTTTGTCCTCTATGGACACCTAAACATCTCTCCTAAAGCGAGGTACACGTGTTAAAAATAAATAAAAGTTTCTTTGTTATTTCTGCTGTAAAAAGTTGTTCCCTATTGTTGCAGCTGTGGGTGATCCCTGCGTTTGGAGTCCACCCCCAGTTTGAGAACGGCCTGGGGAAACAGTTTTTCGGCTTCTCCGTGTGGTTTGTTCTGGTGAACCTGGGTCAGCCGCTCAGTGTTTTCTACAGGATGCACTCAGTGGGGGCTCTGATGGAGCTGCTCATCTCTGCCTGACCTGCAGCAGAGGCATAACTCTGACCACATGACTGTTAAAGCAGGAAATATACAAAGGTTTAGTGGAAAAACAACATGATACTCACTTATAAATGAGTTGGTTTATATATGAAATGGGAGTTTGAAAAAGAGTTTGAGGATTTGTTTTCTTTTTTTATGCTGTTTTTCGTGTTTTTTCCCTTTAGTTCCAATAGCCCTTAAAAGCTTAAAGGTGGGGTAGGTGATTCACTTCAGAAACACTTTTTGTTATATTCCATGGAATGCTCTTAACATCCCGATAGCAATGAATACATTCAATGCTTTGACAATAAACACATACAAATATTTCACCTGTGGAAGCCGTAGTACTGTAAAAAGCACGACCAATCATCTGAGCCGGCCCGGCTAAAATAACTGGATGGCCTACCTGCCTGTCAGCCTTCCATCTCTGCACAAACTTATCTCGTGCCCTCATTGGTCATGTGCGCGTTCGTGTGTGTTGGAGGAGGGGCTCTGTAAGGAAGTCTGAAGGAAGAGGCAGATTTTTTTCGGTTACGTACTTTCAAATTCTAGCGCACTCGAGCTAGTTTCTCCATTCTTACCTACCCTACCTTTAAGACATTTTCAAATTGACATGAACATGCTTCAGTAAACTCTTGAATTTGGAAGCTTAAGATGGGTGGTTGCTAAAAATTGGCTTAATCAGACTACAGAGGTTCCTTTAGGGACATTAAACATCATTGCTAGTCCAATTTAACAGCTCTGTTGTGTATATGCTGGTGCCTCTTGGAATCAAATATGTGAATCAGAATACTTTTATTCGTCCCACAGAGGGGATATTTACATAGATGTAACCAAAATGTTCTAACTTGTAGATTTATCAATGTGAAGTTTTGTTTGATTGTCGCGAAATGCAATTGCAAGTTTGAAGCTTAGTGGTAGTACCGTTGAAGTTATACGACATTGTGCCGATTGTACATTGCCTAAGTTGAATCCTTAGTTTTTTACTTTTAGGATTCCCTTTGTACACCTACTACTACTTAGTTAAGTAGTGTTGAATGGTAAAATCTCATTGGACCTTTGGTGAAGGAACCACCTTCAACCACCAATAAAGGACATTTAAAGGTTCAGCAAACATTCGTATCTGGTTGGAGAACAACTAGGATTTTCCCACTTTCTGTCAACAACAGCTTTTGTTTGTCCTTTTCCTGTTTCAACGTGAAAGTGCCCCAAACTCTATGAAGACAGTTTTGCTAGTCTGGAACATTGAATAAAAAAAATTCAACCCATTTCCTGATTTTGTGAGATTTAATGACGATTTGGCAATGTTAATGACAGTGATTGTATATGATGCACAGTATGTTTTGACACATTAAAACATTCTGTCTTTTTATCTGAAACCTGAAAATTGGCAGGAATTAAGTACAAGATGATCTCTGCTTGTTTCAAATAGCACCAGAGAGTGTGAATGGTTCCTCTGAGCAAAGTTCAGGTGTCAGGAAACCAGCAGATCCTGTTGTTGGTGAGTGTGTGAAGAGAACAAAGTGAACACCTTCAACAGCTGCTCTAAATCCTCTGGATCTCAAAGAGCCGGATGTCCGTGTCGTACCAGATGGGAGGATCCACATTGCTGTAGTAACAAAAATCAGGATAGAGAAACAAGTCAAATCTATTTGTCTCTCTATGTGTTTGTGACTGAAGAACAGGTGGGAAATAACGTTTTTTTCAGAATAAGCTTTCAGGTTGCTTTAAAAATATCGGTGAATTTGATATAAATTATGTAGCTTGTGATAAAAGTTTGGAGAGATATTTAAGCTCACGTAGAAATAAACATAGATACTTTTATTCTTATTTAGAAAAAAAGTATGATTGAACATCAGCCTCTTGTGGCCGAACAGTATCACAAAAACCAACATTTAATCCTGACAAAAGAAAAAATGGGTTTTTTCCAACCTGTTATCATAAATCAAAAATAAATAACTTTGATAAATGACCCTAGCATCTGTTTCCCCTCTCCCAGTTTGTACATCATGAACACAGGAGAGAGACATTTTTAGATCATAGAAATAAATTACTCACATTTCATTTTTCTCACGTGCCTCTCAGGGGCTCCGTAGATTGCACCAAAATATAACACGTAAAATAAAGAGGTTTCATACAGGCTTATATTCATGTTTGTTTACCGTAAGTAGATGACCCCCCACATGTAGGTGCGGAACCACATGGCCGTGCCAGCGTTGGCCTGATACTTCCTGATGAGGATGGGATGAGGGACGGGCAGGAGGCCGACCAGCGTGCCGTGCTGAAGGAACTTCAGGATTTCTGACTCGTCTGTCAAACCCCTGATGATGACAACAATATATAATAACTAATCTGAATCATTAAAACTGCACTAATTATGGTGTGATATCAAAGGGGTTGCAGTGATGAAAGGATTTTGACCAGTATTGCAGTTTTTCAGAGCCGTACATGTTGGTGTCTTTCAGCCCATTTCTTTGGTTTACCATTTAACAACATAAAAGTTTTGGTTTAAGATCTTATAAACCCATTATTTAGACTACCTGACCAACACCAAACACAACAAATATAGCAAGTAACTAGTGAAGAAAGTGGATAATTTAGCATCTGAAGAGGCAGGTATTTCTCTTAAGAGTTTGTTGAAACTAAAACAAAGCTAAACGACTGTAAATATTGGACCTATAATAATCAGTTGCTGTGTATCTGCTTGATCTGCAAATAGGTAACTGATTGCTTAAACATTCATCATAAGAGATGCAACAATAAGGGGATAATCCATTAGTGAACTGACAGACATTTTGATGATTGATTAATCATTAAATTAAAATGTTCATGCAAAGGTTTTTTCCAAAACCCCTAGCTCCCTGGGAGAATCTAGCACCGAGAGCATGATTTATTTTAGCAGCAAAAGCAGTTTGCTGCTAAAATACAGTTATGTTACCAGAATGATAACTGGTTTGTTAGAATGATTAGCAAGAGCGAACATGACTGAAAAAGATGGCACTAAACTGGCCATTTACCTCTTTTAAAATAGGTCAGTAAATGCTTCTGAGATTAATACGTGTATCAATTCTTACTTGTCAATGCAAATCTTCTCCACCTGAGGCACCAGTACCTGTAACAGCCTCATGATGGTCTGTAGAGGAAGTTTGGCTTTCCATGACAACACCTGAGAACACACAAGCAGCATGATGAGTTTAATAAATACAAATAGAAGGAATAGTAAAAAGTAGAAAACACTTCCACTAACCCAGTCTGTGTTAGCGCTCCAGGCTGCTGCTGATGATGATGATGCACTTGATAACTGACTCCTCGCTGCTTCCGACTCTGAATGGTATGCCTGATTATAAAATAAAAGCACAGGACTTTAACTTTAGCTGCAGTAAGAAAAACAGTAAGATAGAGTGATGTGAAGTGTGATGTACCTCGTGGTCTCTCTCTGAGTTGGACTCTGTGTCGCTGGCTCCGCCCACAGCACTGGTGTCAGCAGGAGAGTCAGAGGTAGGCACGGTGATCATGGTGCCGTCCACACTCACCTGGGACTTCGCCGTTATCTTATCAATTCCTAACGGATAAAAACATTATTTTTTTGAATTGCAGAGGAAAAGAGAATTGCTCAAATAAATATTGGTAGTTGAGTATTACAATCTTCAGCTCTTTCAAGGCTTGAAAGGTGGCTCTGAATTTTTTTCTTAAACCTTCATGGGGCACATTTGACAACTTGAATTCACAGCTGTTACAACTGATTTCAATGGGGATCCAGAATAATAATAATAATGAACAAAATAGACAGAGAGAGAGACTCACAATGAATATGAAAAACAAGGACACCCTAAAAGAATACAAAGAAACAAAAAAGAGTGGTTGTCTATATATCATTTAAAGACCGATATGATTATTTGTAAAAACATGGAGACATTTATTTTTTTCAATGTGGCGAAAATGAGATATCCAAATTCCCCACAAATGACTCTGATATGTGAAAAAAGGATGTTGCAGATACTGTAATACAAAGGTAATATTCTAATGCAAGTTCATCAACTGGGAATGTTTCCTCTGTAAATGACTGTACTGTCTCCTTTCTCACCTGGAGTAGCCACTAAGCTGGCTTTGAGTGTTCCCGGCTCAACAGAATCAGCAGGTCTGCTCCTCTCTATGGACTCTGCCTCTATGGAGTTTGTCCTGGAGATCCCAGACTTCTTCTTCTTCTGCAGAACCCTCTGAATAGATGCCGTGTCGGACGGCAGGTTGGCCAGCTGGTGGAAAACATTACGCTTCCGGATGATGGCATACACAAGGTTGGAGTTACCTGTGAGCGAGATTTAGTCAGGAGTTTGAAAGAGCCACATAACTGATTTTCATATTAGAGGATTTTTATATTTGTTGATGTTAACATGACAGAAAACATGTAGAAACAAAAGGAGCTGGTTTAAGTCCTACTTATAACTATTTTTAACGGTCTCAGTTTGTACGGATAATTTAATCCTCCATGCAAACAAAAGTTAGACATGGAGTTCCGCAAGGCTTTGTACTTGGACCTACTTTGTTCACCTTATGCTTCCGTTTCACTTTACTATACTATATTTACTTTCAAGTTTCACCCGTCACTCGTGAGTGGGTTTTTCACAAATGTTGCAAATTTTAACGGCACAAGTCAGGACTTTTCCAATATCCTTTCAGACGAAGCGGCCAAGGAACGTGGTATATTTAACAAACCGCCACTATATTGTCTATTTTTTCACCATCAAACTGATACTGGATGATGTTGTTGAAGACCTCAAGCAGGAAGAAGACGAGGTGGTGGTTCTCTCGCGAGGAGAAGAGGAACCAGGGGGTGGTGAAAGCCTCCAGGAGGTGGAGCAGCTTGTTGGCCGCCACCATGGACAGGCTCTTCAGATAAGGTGAAACTGTAGAGGGCAAAAAAAATGTCAAAATGACGCAGAATATTTCTCTGCAGTTCTGAGATCAAGCCATTAGGGCACGACATTTCCTTTGTGGTCCTCACTGTTCACTATGATTGTAAGAAGGCAGTCAAACAGAGGCTGCAGACGCTGGTGTCCACTGGTGGTGATCTTGTGGAAGATCTAAAAATAATCAAATAAAATGTGATCACATAATAATAATACCAAAATAAAACAGAGAGAAAATGTTGAACAGACAGCAGAACTCTACTCATACTTTTAGTATTTATTATTATTATTATTATAAACAACAGCAGTAATATATATAAATGTTATATTATTACTATTATTAATCCAATAAATTTATTTATAGAGCTCCTTTAGAAAAAAAACATGACATAAAAAACAAGAGTCGAAATGACACATGGAATATATAGCATGATTTGTGTGAGACTTTGTAAATAAATGTTGTGTATAAACGTTTTCACAAATTAATTTGGAAAATCATTTTTGTTTTTAGAATTTCATTAATGAAAAAAAGAATTTCAAGGTAACTTGAATGTAATTGGTATACAACTAATCTGTTTGGGGCGAAGTGTTTTTAAATAAAGAATATGAACTCTCCTCTAACATTACATGTCTTACAACAATGAGCAGGTCTGCGTGGGTCCCTGTGAAGATAGGGATGTCCATGGGGACGTGCAGAGTGAACGGCTTGTTCAGACGCACACCGAAGTTCCTCTCCCCGCTCAGCAGCAGCAGGATGAACACGCCGATGTGCATGAGGCCCACACGAGCTGCAAACACGCGTATAAAAAGACAGATTATTCAGGGGTATAAAACAACCATCTATGCAAGTTAGCACTCACCTCAATATGCATGTGCAAATATAAGTAATCCCTGAGACTCACACGGATCTGCTCTGGCATCATTTAGGCTGAAGAGGATGGGAACCAGCACGTCCAACACGTCGCTGCTCTTCAGCACGAAGAACAGGAATTTCTAAAACACACAAACACACCTGAGTTTACATATTCATCCATCTTACTCCCTCACATCAAGAACTACATGTGATGATGAATTTCAGAGCTTTATTTTAAAACAGGGCTTTGTCGGAAATCAGTGGCGGCGCTAGGGGGTGGCTACTTGGGCTCAAGCCCTGGATGTTTTCTGAAAAGCCCCGGATGTTTCACTTAAAAAAAAAAAACGTCTCGGGAGTAATGTGCAGTACCGGAGTCCACCAGAGAGGCAGCTGCTGCGGGACAGTAGCCTGCGTACTGCATAGCCTTCCCTGCCCTGAAGAAGGAGTGATCCATAGTGCCCAACGCCATATGGCTCTGCTAGTGCCTGACGAGTTTTAAGCTAATAGCCTATAAAGTTATGGATATGAGAAAGTTATTTTCATTGAAAAAGGCGCCACAAGCTGCAGAAGCAGCAGTATCAGCAGCTAACAACAATGTCATCACCAGCAGTGAAGAAATGGATGATGTTTCAGGTTTGTGAATCTAATGGTGATATCTGCAGTCTGGCTGAGTGATGTAATGTTAATGTTATAGCTAGTAAACATGGAGTAACCACACTAATTATACCCGTATATGTTAGTATGTATACAGAACATGACTAAAAATTACCCTAA